TTCTTTACAATCCGAGAAGATCCCCCCACTCGTCATTGCTCGTTCATTATCTCGATATGAAATTTGGAGAAATTTTATATATCATATTATCACGATACAATAGGAATCACATTTTTATTGTTAGAGTGGTAGAAACTTTAAAACGTGTCGCAGCATCACGATGACGTCGTATCCTGATTAAAGAACAGACTGGTTCATATCCGGCTCACGTTCATCAGTATTCACACAGTCTCATACTTTCTCGAGATTAATTCTATTTCTTTATCAATCTTTTTCTTCCTTTCTTTTTTTCTTTCCTCTCTCTCTCTCACCCTTTTCTCTCAACTTTTCGTATTTCGTAATTACCGCCATTTTCTTTCTATATCTTCTTCTTCTTCTTCTTCTTCTTCTTCTTCTTCTTCTTCTTCTTCTTCTTCTTCCTTCTTTCTTCTTTTTCTTTTTTTTTTTTTTTTTGTTCATACGTTATTCATTGCGAAGTTATTTCAAATATACTTGCTAGAACTATTTGGACCCACATATTTCGTGAGAACTTCATTCTATTCTTTTCTCTCTTTCTCTGTCTCTTTGAGTATGAATTTCGGTTTCTCATGATATTTTCTGATTGGTTGAGGGTGATACACTGACTACGATCCCGCATATAAGACTTCGTATACCTATACGTTTCTAATATAATATAACTGCGGGTGGGAATTTACGAGAGTATATCTTTCAATCTCTTTGATTACATGATCTTTTTCTATGTATATATATATATATATATATATATATATATATATATATATGTATATATGTATGTATGTGTGTGTGTGTCTATTTTTCTTTTTCATGAAAAAAAAAGTTAGAAAAATAGGCCCATATTATAGGATGTCTAAGTAAAAAAAAAAAAAAATAAAAGTAAGATGGGTGCTGGGTAATCCTTCGTCCGAATCATTTTACATAAGACATGATTTGTCCATTAAATAGTATCTACTCTGCAATAAGGATATGTATCCAAGTTTATTACGTTAATTAATTAATATGATTTTTATGTTATAGTATTTTTTATTTTATTTGGTTTCATTCATACGTCGTTTCCTTTTCTTTTTTCTATTTTTATCCGATAATATTAATTATTGGATTAATTATTTAGATTGTTGGAAATCTATTTGAGATTGTATATATATATATACATATATTACTTTTCTGTCTCTTCTCTCTCTCTCTCTCTCTCTCCTTTTTTTTTGTATTGACTTCAACTTCATTGAGAATAAGTATGAGAATATTATTCCCTTTTGGAAATATTTCCTCGGCTTATCCCTCGATGTTATGGGGTACTCTAATACTCCCGTATAAAAACCATATGTTTTTACATTTGGATATGCTGGTCAAGATGACTCTCAACGACACGCGACCCGCACCCTAAACGAGTACTTAATTGTTCCGAAATTTTATCGTCTACTATGGAAGACAGCCATAAAAAATCGACCGATCTTACATGTCGGTTAGGATTGATTATTTCGTGGAAATGGAATTTGTTTCTTTTTCTTTTTTTTTTTTTATGATAGTAAGATAAAAATTAATTTGACATATAATATATAAGCGAACTAAATATAATATAAATTTATATTGATATTTTTTCATGGTGGATTTTTATGGTGAACGATTGAATAATATAAGATTTATTATATTTTATATATTTCATTTCGTAATATTTTTTTTATTTAATCTAATATTATAAAAAAGTTTAAACTTTTGTACACTCACATATATATATATATAATATATTATAAATAAATAAATAAATATATACATATATATATATATATATGTATATATGTAAAAAAAACTAATTTAATAAATTTAGTTATTTTTTATATCGATAACACATAATTCACATTCGAATTTCTATTTTACCGACATTGCTCGCGCAAAGTGACAGGTAACGACACCTGTACGAGAACGATTGAAACTACTAATAATAATCTTATCAGTAGTCGATAAAAATGTAAAAAACTGATTTGTTTCTTAATCGATCGAGTTGGATCTCAATAGATAATATGAATAATGTAAATTCATTTTTATTTTTTCACAGTAATAAATTAACACAAAATTAAAAATTTTTATCGATAACAGAAAAGTATTTAAATTGATTGATAAAAATTGCCAAATGATTTAAGATTAAAATTTATAATATAATATATATTCGTTTTAAATAATTATAATATTATTTTGAATGATTCTAAATGAAAAATCAAGGGTGAAATAACAAATATTATAAATTTTCATATAATTAATTGAAAAATTTATATATATATATATAATTTTCTACACAGTGAAAACTTAGTATTATATGTATAAATATGTACTTTAGTCAGACGTTGAAAGATGCTTACGTTACTATAGCACAGAACTCCTTCAAGTGTCGATGAATTTAGCTGAGGCGAAAGAAAATCTTAACACAGAAATAGCAAATCCATTAGAAAGTAAAACAAAATTACATTACTGTGTTTCTGTCGAATAT